TTCCCCATACGCGCCTAGACCTCGCGTAAGGGACCCCCAAAGAAATATGTTGGCGGGAAACGATTTCGCGAACCAAACAACGTAGAAAGTTGAAACTTCGTAGGGATATTCACGATGCACATGCGAGTTTAAAATTTTAAACTCAGCTCTCTTGCTGCCCAACCACAGCCTCAAGCAATTCCTCAACCCAAAAATCGTTAGCAACTCGGACCTGAACCGCAATCGTATATGCAAATGAACGTGGATTTTTTGAAAAACGACCATTCGAGCAATACTTTCAATTTTCAATGAACTGGAAATCTGCATATTTTCAAAAAAATCGTTCGCAGCTCAGACCTTAATCGCAATCGTATATGTAAATGAACGTGGATTTTTTGACAAACGACCGCTCGAGCAGTACTTCCATTTTTTAGTGAACTGGGAATTTGCATTTTTTCAGAAAATTTGCATTTGTCATTTTTCCACACAACGAGCATTTACCGAAAAAACGACCGGACTTCATGCAAAAAACCGGTAATAATGCACCTGGACGTCCGTGCGGCTCTGTAATGCACCACCTTCATTCCAACTGATGCCCTTCCTCCTGCATGCCGGAAGGAGCCAAAGCACGACCAATATGAGCCCAAGTGTTAGGCTACAGCGTAGGGATCATTCTTGTTAATAGCGATCTTCAAGTTTAGTGCAAAAACGCGTGATCACACCGGAGAGCCTGGTGCGTTCCAGCCTGGGTTTATTGATTGCTTCGTTTCTCAGCGTAAACTAACGTTGTTTGATAATCGCTTTTTATCTTTGCTTTTCCTACTAACAGTTTCCCTCAATAATGTTTTTCTTTTAATGGTTATTTAACACTTTTGCGATTTCCACATCGAACAGGCGAAGGGTACTAAGGGAAGCTATGTGGTTCAGGACTTAACGGTCCGGTACAGCTACATCTGGTGCATGAAACCATCCCAATAATATCATTAACATGGCATACACATCGACTGTTCAAATTTTTATGCGTTTTTGATGAGCAATTTGCATATTGCCGAGAGGTCATCCGTCCATATGTGTGTGTCCGGAATCGAGTGAACTTTGCCACCCACTTTCAACCTAGCAGTTGGGAAAGCTGGGGGCTAAAATTTTGAAGACATATTCCCATCCCATGCGTCACCTTCCCGTTTTAAAAACTTCTTTCAAACACGCATAGATCTCGCAGCATACGGACCCCTGAAAAAAAAAGCAGATTTCTTTGACGAAAAGCGTTTACTGATCCAGACAGGGTGGAAAGCTGAAACTTTGCAGGGGTATTCTCTGTTCATGTATAAGCTGAAGAATTCAGCTGCCGCGCACTTCTGCACCATGCGTACGGTCACATCAAAGCTTGCAGTTGGTACTGGCTAATTCGAAAATTAGCCAAAAAACAGTAGCAGAAATTTTGTCAGAATATTTATTGTTCATCTATAAAATCGTATACCTAAACTGAGTTTCAATTTTGCACTTGCATCACAGCTTAAGGCACTTCAAAGATATTTGTAGCGAAGTGGCTATTTCGTTTAGCAGACACGAAGCGAAGCTGAAACTTTGCAAGAGTATTCTATAGTCACGTATGGTCTTAATTCAGCTTGGACATAAAATCTCCTGCAGGTGGGTATGACAAATAATCATTTTTATCGCAAGATCAAAAGCAAGTGTATTTTGCAGATTCCATAATCCCCTTCCGACTTCCTTCAAATTTGCATTTTTTTCGATGAACGAGCATTTACAGGAAAAGCGGCAGGGCTTCGTGCAAAAAACTGATAATCATACATGTTGAAAGTCTACAAAGTCCCATAATACAACTCCTTCATCCCAACTGACGCTCTTTCTCCCTTCATGCTGAAAGGAGCCAAAACACAGCCAATATAAGTCCAAGCGTTAAACTACAATGCAGGAACCATTCCTGTTGTTAATAATCTGCAAGTTTAGCGCAAAAACGTGTGGTCGCACCGATAAGCCTGGTGTGTTGAAGCCTGGGTTTGCCATTATTGTTGATAACAATTATAACTGCCATTTAATATTTTGATGACGATTTTCTGTTCGTGTTTTTTAATAACTGTTTTTCTCTTGTATAATTTTGGACCAGCGCACTACTTTACCAACTTGTCTGTAAATATATATCTGTTTGAACAGGTCGGAGAGCTTTCAGTTCTGTGCATCTGTATTCGCATTTGTTTAGTTTCTTATAACAGTTTGAAATTGTGTTCATTTAGGATTTCTCCTGGCTTGACAATAGTGTCAACTTGACGTGCACTGGAGGAAGACCAATTTCGCTTCTGCTTGATTCGTTGGTGCGTCCAAATGCTGATACCGGATCACCTGAACGATCAAAACTTCGCTGGATTTACTGTCCAAGCCGGGCCATCTCACATATGGTAGTAGCCCAGACGTCATTTGGTGGATCCTGGAATGAACATGATGACGATGTAAAGTTTAATAATTCAGTCACTGTGAAAGATTTCACACTTTAGTTGAGTGCTTTTTCAGATGATTTCAATCAGTGTGAATAGTTTTTTGGATCTTCCAGTATTTTCGGTCGCAGACTGGCTTGGTGGAAGTAAATTGGACCGCCGTCTTCCGGCAGTGGCCTATCGGAGATATCTTTCTGATTACACAGATGTCTTGCATATACGTCAGAATATTGTCTGCGACTTTGACGTAACGCATATTAAGGTAGTTTCTGCTTTGGGCAATCAGCTGTTGAAGTCACCCAGTGGGATGTTGAGATGTGCGCTTTCTTGACCACCAGATACAGTGGATCAGAATGAGAATTTTTTCATTTCTGCTTTCAGAAGTCTTGTGGGGACTTTCATGGGAAAATGTTCTGGGAGGTTCATGGGACCAAAAAAGGCGGACCGGTGCTGCTGAGATGTCAAAAAGTTGTTCTGGCATGCGGGAAGAACCACGATCGACTACTTGGAGCAAGTTTTTACCTTTAACTTCTGTGAAATAGCTGCTTTATCTTGTTTTCGATAGTTCTATCTATAGGCATGCATACGTTTGTATGTGTATATGTATGTTAGCTTATGGACAGTTGTAGTCAAGCGGGGTAATTTTATCGCTATTCAAAACTGGCGATTCTGATAACCCAGTTGGAACGAGTTCTCTGGAAAGTTTCGAGTCGAGGCGTCAACATACTCCCAGTTGTATCGCCTCTCAGCAGTGCCTTTTGTACTGCATTTGTACAGTTCGCAGTGCATAGTGCAGTGGATGACTAGGTCACGCATATGTCACAGTAATTGGTTTGAACGGACTGACGACGATTTAACCTTACAAGTAACTCAGAGCTTTTCTGAGACGACTAGAAGGCAGATGAGCGTTTGAGGGTTCGGTGCTGTTCTTTTACAGTTCGTAATATTTTATGCGTTTTCTTCTGTTTTAAAATTACAAAACTTATAAGGCTGAAGTTTTTGGCAGGTGGATGGAGAATTAGAAGAGGATCGGGCTGCTTATAATGTTCGCGCTTTGAAAAAAATGCTGCTACTCACTACTACAACCAAACTTTCTCGTCAAAAAGTTATTGTAGTTGGCGATGGAATGAGTGCCGCCGATGCTGTATTGCACTGCCTCAGTGCAGGCATCCCTGTTCTTCATATAATTCGTCGATCTGATAAACATTTGCGGCGTAAGTTACTGAGTAGTTTCGAGAACAAATTGCTGTTGAGCAGTTGTGTTCTAGCTGTTGAGGAGTGATTCCTTGTTGCGTATATACGAATGACCGAGTAGGATGACCGTATAAATGCACATAAAATGTTGTATGCGGAAATGTGAGAAGGCTTGGTGAAAGTAGTGAAGGAAGGCAGAATTTGTGAGGCCAAGCTGTTCTCCTTGGATCTAGTGGATGTGGAAGCGAGTGCTTAGTACCAAACCATAGTTACGGAATCAGTTTACTGTATGTGAGAAGGAAAACTGCTGTTAAATATATAGTTTTGAAGTTCTGCTTTAATGGAAGTATTTTGTGTTGAAGGTAAAAGTGAAGCTTGAAAAATCTAAATTATTATGTTTTAGATATACAGCTGTCAAGACTTAGTGCTTCTTTGTATCCTGAGTATGCCCGAGTGTTCAGTTTAATGCTGGGACGTTGTGATGACCCATGTTATACCAAAATCACAAGCGCTGCTGTTAAGTGGCTAAATAAAGGCATGGCATACATCGAGACGCCATTAACTAGTTTTACAGTAAGTTTTCTTTTTCTGGCTACAATTTTTAGAAATAATAACGGCATAAAGTCATACAGTACGGATAAAATACGTTGAAAAATGACGAGGTAAAGGAAGGGAACTAAAAGCATTATAGTAAAGAGAAGATATTCCAGTGATTTGTTCACACTTCAGTGGCATGTCTCTTATGCGCACAAAATTGTTAGTGGCAGTTTATCACGTTGTGATAGATCGGTTTGTGAAAATAGCTGTTGCCGTGCTCGTTGCTATTGTAACTGGATGTGCAAACTGTATGTATCCTGGGAAGAGTAGAATTTTTTGTGAAACTGGTATTTTAAGTTTCTTAAAATCTTTGCATTACAGATAGATTTTAAGGGGGCAGGGGTTGATTTCAGTGAAGCAGCCTGAAAAGTTCTAAGTTTTTCTCTTTTTTTAAATCATATTTCGTACGGAATTATGTTCTTTCTAGGAACCATTCCGAGTACTGTGCATTTGTATTGGGAAACAATCGGATCTGAAGATGTTAACAGAGGAATATACATTCCAAGATTATTTCTGCAGTGAGGATCCAACATTGTTCCGCGTAGGATCGCTTGCTGGGGATCACTTTGTGCGGTATATTGTAGGTAAGATATTGTGATGTAGAAGGAAAAAATTCATTGCGTGAGTACTCTTCTTGTGATCGATGCTAGCAGTTCCGGGTTAATGTTGAGGGTTGTGAGTTCCATGCAGTTTTTAGAGATTTGCTTCATTCAGCTATCAGTTCGTCATTCACGCAGCTAAGGGTTTTCCCACGGCTTTTGTGAGCAACACTTGCCTGCTTTCTGACAATTTTGTTCGTCTTCCTTTTTTTTTACCTTCTTTTTCTGTGAGGGAAATGTTAGAGGGCGCGCATTTCCACCCTCACTATGCTCACATTTTATCAGCTCTCCCGACGTTTCTTAGTAACAGTCATCACTCGTAAAAAAGGAAATGTACTATCGTAAAGGATTGAAAGGCGTCAGATCTTTCGTGCAGATATATCGGGCGAAGACGAGCACATGCATAACTTTCTTGTAGTTGATATGTCCAGTCTAATTTTGTTTTTAGGTGGTGCGTTTGATGTCGCTCGATATCTTATGACACCTAATCTATCGAGCACCACTTTATTTCCAGGTTTCACGTTTTTATGCGTTTTTTGCAGCAATGCAATGCAAAAAACGCATATTGACGAGAGGTTGTCTGT